GATGATGATGATGATGATGATGATGATGATGATGATGATGATGATGATGATGATGATGATGATGATGATGATGATGATGATGATGATGATGTTGTTGTTGATGATCATGATGATGATGATGATGATCATGTTGATCATCGAGTCAAGGTCTTTGTCTTTATCCGGGATCAGCATTTGGTACCGGGGCGGACTTGGCACCTTCACCTAGGCGGGATGGCAGGAGAAGCAGGCGGTCGAGACGGAGGGAGAGAATAGAGAGGGAGAGAGGAGGAGAGGAGGAGAGGAGGAGAGAGGAAGGGAGGACAAGGATGAGCCAGATGAGACTAGACAAAGAAGATGGAGGAGGAGATGGGATGTGAATTGAGCAGGAAGTCTTTGAAGGTCTGGAGATGAATCTCTACATCGAAGAGATCAAGGACGGAAATGAAACGCGAGTGAGTCTCACAGCCTTGATTGTTTTTGATCCTCTCTTGATGATCATGTAGACTCTTGCTCTCTCCGCAAAGACTCTCAAGACAGGAGGCGAATCCCCGCAAGCTCGTGATCTCGTTTGCCACTCCCTCGCTCGACCTCAAGTCTCGGGGCAGGGGGAGGACATGCTGCCGTGCTGATGGGGTCGAGCCTCTACATCATCGGGGGAGCGAATCGCAAGTGAGTTGTGCCTCCCCATATTGCTGCATGATGTTTCGCGTCGTAGCCAGGAATACTCGACGAGGATAGCAAAGTTTGACCTCCGCCAAGGGAAATGGAAAGTATTGCAGGGAGGGTGACAGGCGTGTTGACATGTGGAGGACAAGCAGGGAGGACGTGGAGGCTACAGGAGGCAGCCCTCCTCCTCGTGCTGGACATACTGCAGTCGTCTGGTAGGAGCGAGCAGGAAGCCGCATCCTGCTGAAATGCCTGTCAAGGTCGCAGCGCAACGCTGTTGTGCATGGCGGGATGTACATGCCAACCCAAGAGTTCTACAACGACACGTGGGTCCTCAAGGAGGAGGACGGCAGCCTGTGCTGGCTAGAACCGGTTTATCGCTCATCTTTACTCGACCTCATTTCTCATGCTGCTGAGCAGCGGCAGGAGGGACTGACGCCCTCAGCTCGCAACTCGCACACGGCAACACTAGTTGAGGGGGAGGAAGGAGCCGAGAAGATGGTGGTGATAGGAGGAGGAAGCTCCAGTGGTCTGCTGCTGAGTGTGAGACAACATTTGTTGATGGAGAGAGCTGATCCCCGTCCCTAACCTCGGCAGGTTGAGATAGCAGACCTTCAGGATCTCCCTGACAAGGTTTCGCTTGCTTGCAACGAATGTCGTGCTGAACATGCTTGAAGATCACCTGGAGTAAGTGCGAGGAGGAGTCCTTGTCTCGGATCTCGCCGCGAGAGATGCACACCTGCTCGCTCTACAAGGATTTCTTGATCATCTTCGGAGGGAGGGTCGACGGGGTATCACTCATCTCCCTTCCTTGCCTCTGGCATGTTGAAAGGTGTGAAGGAAGAGGTAGTGTCGTCGGAAGCGATCTTGATAGACAAGACGTCGTTGAAGGCACTTGTGATGACAGCGCAATCCGTCACCTCACTTATGAACCAGGTAGTCAAGGTTGAGAGCACGAGCTTCAAACGTTGCGGACATGCCATGGCTAAGGTTTTCCGTCTCTTCTCAGGACGCCATGCTGACCTTGCGAAGCTGAGAGACTCCCGGCTCATCCTGGTGGGAGGACTCGATCTCACGGCACCGGAAATCTGCGCTCAGAGCGTCGTGATCGATCTCGGTGAAGGATGCGATGCTGCCTCGTGTCTTGCTCTGCGCGATGTTTTCATACACCGGAGAATGTCTGCTACTTGTCTGACTGTTGAATGAGAAGAGCTCCAAGACCCTCCACCTTCTACGCAAGAAACTTTCTCTCTTCGATGCGACGTGCCCGAGCAGGCAAGCTCCTCCCCCTCCTCCGTCTTTTGCCGCTGACAAGCCGCTGGCAGGAGGACGGCGAGACGCTGGCAAGGTTCGCTCACAGTGCTACAACCGTGACGACGGGAGGAGAGGGAGAGGTTCTTGTGTTCGGAGGCGTCAACTTCTCGTCCGACCTCAACGACGTGGTCGCCATCACGAGCTCTGTCGCAAAGGAGTAGGCAAGCAGTGATGGCAGGAGGTTTCATTACACGATCACGTCAAAACTGCTATCGCTGTACACTACAGTTAACAAGAGAGGCGACCAGACGTCTAGCCCGGGTCGTCCTCCCGCCTTAGCCTTGCTTCATCATCGAC